TTATGCCAGGGCTGTCCGTACACATAGCCTTGCTTACGCTGCTTTGGGTGGTTTGATATTCAAAATTTTGGGATTGAGTCAAAAGAAAAGTTGTTAGCACTGGATACAGTTATTGATTCTTTTCACTAGTCCAATATAGATTTTAAGCATCCAGCATTGCATGCGGTGAGAGTTAAATTCTCGAAAGTCCTGAACGAAATTGAGGATAGAGGACCAACTGCGACACTATGAATCCAATACTTCCGGCTGTGTACCCTCATAAAAAAAATTCATCAGAGCTGAACGTACGGGTAACTGGAACCTACCCCTCGACTCAGTCAGAGAAATGATCCCTCCCCTACTTCCATGCTGCAGGCCACTTGAATTACGCCAAGAGTGTACACTACACACTTGTACTTCCAGGATATGATCACCTTAAAAGAGAAAATAGATTCTCAAGAATATGAAAAGGGACACTTCAATATTCGCAGAACCGACAAATGCTCGTCAAGCATCTGGTCAGATATAACTATAGAACAGGTTCTCATGCGGTCTGCGAAGAGCTATGGCGGGCTGACTCATGGTCGTGGTGTCAGTGATAGTGTGCTTTCTCCATGGATCGTGCGGGTATGATGTCTCCAAAGTTTCGATGAGCAAATGGAACTGTTTGTTGAAGTACGCTCACAGACTACTGAGCAACACGTAGATATGAGGCCTTTCCGTGTTACCAGGGATGATATCGACATCAAGAAACTTAGTGATTGATTGGCTAACCATTCACCTTTCCTAGATACACAAGAGCTATTCTCAATAGGCACAGAAGCTGTTTGTTGTTCCTGAAGTTGTGAACTGCCACTTAGCTCAAACTATTTGTATCACCTGTATAAAGACCCGTTTAGAAAAAGGAAATTTTCAAGACACGAAATTGGAGCGGAAAGATAAAGTTCACAATGGATCCTTTCACTCTCTTTCAACGGATTTGCATGATAAAACAATCAAATGATGACCCTAGAAACTTGTTGAAATACAAGCTAGCCCTCTTCCCGATGTCTCTCTTCACAGAGGGAGGTATGCACAAGGGCACAAAGTCAATGTTGTATGCAGCATTCACTCCTATACAAGAACCAGTAGACTTCGGCAGCAGCAAATGCGCAGTTATTGATGCTGGGTACCTGCTACATAAGGTTGTGTGGAACACCAAGAGATACGACATTTGAATTGGTATGCCAGAACTACGTTGATTATGTTCGAAGACACTTCGGGAGCAATGCTATAGTGGTTTTTGATGGGTATCCTGTTGGCATAAGTTACCCAAAGCACCAAAGCAGTAGAACGATATCGACGATCGCTGCACTCATCGTCAAAGTTTGTGTTTTCTAAAACAGCTGTTCCTACCATTTCACACAAAAAAAATCTCCGAACATTTATTTCCAGAAGAGTGGTAGAGGTAACACCCCCAGTGTTTTGTATGTATCCATTCCTGCAAGGAAAATACTCAGGATATGCTCTTTCTTCACGCATTGATTGGATGTGACACCACTTCAGCACTCTTCGGAGTTGGAAAGAAGAAGGTAATGCAAGTTTATGAAAAAAACCCTTGGCTCTCAGGAATAGTTGGTGTTTTCAAAGATCCTGACGCAAGACCACACCAAATTATTGAAGCTGGAAAGAAGTTCCTAGTGAAATTGTATGGTGGTTACTCAGACGCAGATAATTTGGAGGATCTGCGGTATCGAGTATTTTCATCAAACGTTTTGGCAAACTCGAAATTTCAACTTGCCAGATTACCACTTACAAGAGATGCCGCCAAGTACCACTTCTATAGGACATAGGCTTCTACCCATGCAGCAAGGTTTGGTCGATATAACGTTGAATGTACGATACTTCCCAACGTTGCATTACGTTGTAACAACAGTTGAATGTACGTTGACAGGACGGCACAATGTCATAATTGAGACAACGTTGAATGTGACCGTTGAATTAACGTCGTTTTTTTTGTTGGCCTCAATCTTATAACAACGTTGATCAGATGTATTCGAGATGTCAGATTTCACGTTGAACTCAACCGTTATCACAACCTTGACCAGATGTAATTAAGACGTCAGATTTTACAATGAGCCTGAGGTTGAGCTCAACCTTTATTTACAACTTGAAATAGAAAAAATAGTACAAAAAACATGCTTCATAAGACATTTTATATCAAATTGCGTCTTATGAAACTTATTCTATAGCTGGCTTTGTCAGAACAGTTTTCAATTAAAATAAAATCACCAAAATGTTTGAGGTTATAGGTACTTTATTCCACAAATTTTTTAAATAAACACAAACCACAAACTCTTTGACACAAAATTTATTATATCGAAACAGTAAGAGCAAACAAATTTGATCAAAATAAAACATTATTTGGAGGATTGTTAAAATTCAACTGGCTTGCTCTTAAATAGGAATTAAAAAGTATGAAAAGGTTTCTATAATTTTGAGAAATTATTTCCGCCTACCACCATTTTCCACCAATCGAAGTTAAATCCAGGCTAGACACATTAATAAACCCACAATGACAAAAATAATAACACCTTTTACACATTCAATAATTTTAAATTTACACAAAATAATAAAATCAACAAAAATCTGAGTGAATACGAAGGATGACGCGTTGAACGTGATGACGCCAGCGGCCAGACGCCAATGCAATGATGGGCTGAGGCACGCCACAGGGCTCAGAGGGCGCTGTCGGCAAATGGCGGGACACGATGCACCTTAGCGGGAAGTTTGAATGAATTTGCATGGAGATACCACTTTATCTACTTTTAGGGAACTTATATAATATTATTTCACGTCGAATGTTGGAGCTTTAAACATTAAACCTGCATTCATAAAGATTTATAATAGGTCTGTTTCTGCAGAAATCACAAACCAGTCAGAGCGAATTTCATTGGTTGAAAACAGTCAGAAACAGTCAGAAAACTAATAACGTACATATATTTATTTCAAAAAACATTTTGAATCTCCATTCAACGTTTATTTAACATCTAGTGATGGGCTAAATCAAACAGAGAAAAACCAGTGATATAACTATTCAAAGTTGCTATACCTAGTCTAGATTTGATAGATACTTTGGTACCGATGGGTTCGAATTATTTTTTTCAAACTATATTTAACGTTGAATAGACTTTGCTTAGAAAACGTTGACGAATACGTTGTTTTCATAATGCCCATTCAACGTTGATTTTTGGTATATCAACGCCTACGACATCAATCAATCTTTAATTAACGTTGATTCAACTACCCTTTGCTGCTTGGGTATAGGATGAGAATGGAAGAAAGCCCACAAAAATTCCATCTGCTTGGAGCTGGAGCCTGACCAATCGAAGTTAGTATACAGGGTGTCGCTGCTTTCGTTTTCGTTTCTCTAGTCGCATAACAAGGAAAGTATTGTAACAAAACTTTTTCTCGTCGCTCGTGCCCTTTCATTCATCTGTCGATTCGCCTCATTGTGTAGTTTCATCTGGGCCACATTCATAATCATTATGAAACACCTCAAATCTATCCTGAACGTCTAACAAAAGTGGTATTGGAAAACGAATTCGCAGTTTGTATCTCAAAACAAAGAATGATAACAAGACGTCGAAGGCAAAATTTTGGTCCCAATTTTTTTTGCAGAAAAAGTCATAGTAACTTTAGCTTTCAATAGCATGCATAGTATGTATATATTTTGATGATCCTGGTATCTACATCAACTCTCAGCAATATTCATAAACAAAACTCTTACTTGTCGTTATTGTAAATCTTCTCCCATGCAGCTCAGATGGTTACAGATCTAGTCTCACAAAATCTAGCTTAAAATCCCGACTTGTATACGTGAAATTTTCACGTGTTTCGAAGAAATTAACTGGAATGGTGACGAATCGTAGGAGATGTTTGCTGTTTGCGGGACCATTTCGCATGCTGCTAAAGAGAATGCACTAAAACCTCTACAAGTGTTTCTATCTAATAATCACTATATTTTAATGATTATTCCACTCATGTGTTAGAAATCCCATAAGACAAGTGACGATTTTCAGAATTTCAGCGAAAATTCTCTTTTCCATTTGTTTAACTAGAGAGAATTACAGCGATAATTCTCCCATGTTATTGTATACATGGTTGTCATGCTAATTTTTGATACAAACAAACGGTTCCTGATAGCAACCATTTATTTGTATTGATTGTTAAGGTTTAAAGTCAGGCCTATTGTTTATTGCAGAAACGCGAGATGTCAGTACTGTCGCCCCTATAGTGTGCCCTAACTTGATAGTAAAAAAAAAAAATAGAAATCTGCATTTGGTTGAATTGTATGATGGAAAGTTTTTTCTTTTTTTTGCGGAAATTCGAAGTATTATTCTGTTTCACATAAACAGGGTTGTAGTTTGGACCAACACAAATAATTTTGAACGTTCATCCGTCGGATTTATTTTTAAACAGTGTAGCTACAGGCGTATTTCCAACTATTTTTGCAATAGCGAGAAAACTACAAGTTCAAAAAATTTGAAAAAAATATATGTATAGCGTAGAATTGCAATAGTAGTTCGTAATAAAAATAACGGGAAACTTCATCTCTTCGCTTTGAAATAAATGGTGAAAAACCACTTTTTTTCAGATTTTGCGATATAACTCAAAAATGGCGAGTCAAATTTGATTAAAAAAATTATGGATTAAAGTATAACAATAACCATAAAACATATATTTTTTTTGGAATTTTTGAACACAAGGTTCAGAAAATGGGGGTTGACTTTAAACCTTAAGATGTTCAAATCGTTTAATACATATTTATTTCCATATTTTTTGCATTCTCATACGTGAAATAATCCTCTAAATACCACTTGAGCTTTAAAATGAACCAGATAATTTTTCACTCATGCGTGTATTCTCTGCAAATTTCACTCGTCCTACGGACTCGTGAAATTATAGAAAACACGGCAATCGTGAAAAATTATCGGTAATTTTGAAGCTCTCGTGGTATTATCCCCGAAAATTATTTCCAGTTATCACGAAAACGCTCTATACGATCTGCCAGCAAACTTCGAATACATCAAAAATTTGACTGGTCAGAAAATAATTCCCATCGGACACTCTATGGGCTCCACAGGTCTAGCCGCTTATGCTTCGGTTATGCCAATGGAAGCAGAAAAATACCTCAAACATGCTATTCTAGTATCACCAGCAATATATTTTAAGAACAATGATGGTTTTGTTAGTAAGGGTATGATTGAAAGCGCGCATGAGATGATTGTAAGAGCTCCTAGTAATGTTTTGAACGTTAGATTTGTTTAAATTGATATTATTTCAGGTAATACTTCCGATAATCGGCTATAACCGTATCATGACAAAGGACAGTTTCGAAAGACTTGCCACTAAAAGATTCTTTTATTCTACTCTGGATAATGCCAAGTTTACTAAAGTTGCACTTTCCGCTGTTTTTGGAAAATTTACACATCCATCAGAGCCCGTATGTAGCAAACTCATATTAAAAATTATTTTTAGGTTGAATATTTTTAGGCAAAATTTCCGTTATTAATTGACTCACTTAGAACAGTTTCTTTTAAAACTATGCAAAATATGCATTCAAGAGAATTTAGAATGTTCGACTATGGCCCCGAACAAAATATGGTCCGATATGGCAAAGAAATTCCACCGGATTATGACATGGGTAAAATAACAAATTCAATTTCACTGGTCTATGGTCTTTATGATACTTTGGCTGGCAGGGAGGTAGAACATATTTCTGTATTAGAGAAGCACAAAAGACATTATTTTTTGTGTTACAGAATATTGTGGCTGCATACCAACGTTACCAGAAACCAAACTGGGATATCTTCGAGATACCTCATAACCATGTAGATCTGTTATTTTCAAGAGATGCCAGGAAAACAATTCTTCCTTTATTGTCTAAAATAATTAGTAAAGTTATTAGAAAACGAGATTAAACAAATTTACCTACAATACTTATAATTAGATTTTTTTTTTTTGGTGAATTTTCCCACGTTCCAATTAATTCAAACAGTTCCTACAATTTATATCAATTTGGCCCGGATTTTGCTGACCGATTTTCTCTCTTCGGGGATTTCATCCACTGAAAATAATGTCAGGTCAATAAAACAGGGTTGCAGATGAAGAATATTTATTTGTCGACGTTTCGACCTAAACTAGGTCATCCTCAGGGTATAAAAAATTATTTTTATTTATTTATACAGCTTTTATCATTTGCAATAATATTATTTTTTATTATCCAATAGTTTTATATTAAACAGGATCACAATGGACCGTGGAATAGGCATTGACCTTGAATAAAAAAAAATCCAGGTACGGGATCGATGGAGACTTTTCAACATTTATTTATAATGGTGTTCCGAACACTACTTCACTACTATTTTTAATAGTATTTTGACCGAATTATTGGAGATTTTTATAATAATTATTAATGCTTATTTCACTATTAATGTTATCATTATTATTATTGGGTATAATAATTATTTATGAACGGAAAGAGCACAAAAGAGAAATGAACTGTGCATAGTAGGTTTAAAGGTACCTACTCCGTAAAAAAATCCATGATTGATTTGTGTTCGCGTAAGACTCGTAATGAAAAAATGAGCAATTTTTAAGGGTGACACTACAGAATATATAGCTAAACCGCGGTTTAGCTATATATTCTGTGGTGACACCTTAGATTATGAGCGTACTCTTGTTTAAAACAATGTATTATAAAAGTCCTCTTCACAACGCTACCGTGCGCTGCGCTCTAGTGAGCGACAACCTTTAGTTTAATATCAATTTTTGAGAAAACGGTTGGAGATAAAGGTCACTAGATATAGGGTATCCCATTTAAAAAATTAGTTTAAAGCACAATGGTAACCATCAATATTTGAATAACGATTTTGACCACCCTGTATAAAAAAACCCAAATCTTAGACTATTGGGAGATAAGATGATACTTCCATATATTTTTACAAAAAAAATGGTGGTGTAGATATTAAAATTTAAGTGGTATACTGATTTCGGTAAAAATTTCTCTAAAATAATAATAGCTTGGCAACGTCGCATTCGAGGACAACAAATATGTGGGGCTGAAAAGAGAGTCCAATGAGGCTCCAATTTCGGTGAAAAAATATAGGACATTCCATATGAAAAAAAAAAAAATCCAATTATGTGCCATGCTTTTTTGGGACACCAGGGGACAAGCTTAACTAATTTTGAAATGTAGCCCTTATAACCTCATCAACATCCCACCTATTAATGCAGATGGCGCTGCACGAGTGAGATAGACACGTTAGAGTAGCTGCTTAAAATAAGGCTTTTTTAGCTGTAAGAAATTTGTTTTTCCTGTGCGGAAATAGTTGGAAAGTAAAGTTTGATTGTTTAATCTTGTTCGAAGTAAAGAGATCCGTTCTAGTGCTCCGTATTTTCACAGTGTTTTGTATTGTTTATAATCGGGTTATAAAGTGAGGTTAGAATGGTGCTGTCAAGATCCGATCTCGAGAGCATCAAAGCAATATTTACCGAGAACTTCATACAGGAAATCGCCGACAAAGTCTCACAGAATATATTAACAAAGTTTGAGGAGAGACTGAACAAGCAACCATCCGCGATTTAAAGAAAGAAATCGCGAATCTAAAGACTGCAAATCAAGGATTTGTCCAAGCCTTGGACAACCAGGAACAGGCATCAAGATCCCTTAGCATTAGGGTTTTTGGCGTTCCAAAGACCGAAAACGAAGATTTACGTGTAAAAATGCTGGACATCTTCAAGAAAATGCAAGTAAATAATTTAAGACACGGTCAAATCGTAACCTGCCATCGAATAGCCTCCAAAAATCCAAGCGACAAGCCACCGGCGATACTTATCAAGTTTACAAACAATGCTATGAGAACAGCTGTTCTGAAAAACCAAAAAAACTTGAAATCAACAAACATACAGATTAAGGAGGATTTAACGCAGTATCGTGTCGGGCTTCTTACTGCTGCTATGAAAAAATTTTCCAGCAAAATGACATGGTGCTTTAATGGTTCCGTGTATGTTAAAATAAATGGTGTTGTGCATAGCATCAAGAATCCGGAGGATATTGCTAACTTAGTGGCCTAGAGGGTATGGTGTATGTACTGGTCATGAAAACAACTTGTGGGTGTATTGTATTATATTCTATACCCATATGAAGGTAAATAATGCAAATGTTAAAATTAGCTATAAAAACATGGGTACCTCTTATTTGTTTTTGTTTTTTTTTATCCACTGATAACGGTGTTTTGTAGCATTAATTATTGAAATCTGTTTTATTTTCTATTTTCTCTTTTTTTTTTTTTTAAATGTGTTGGAATGCACGGGATCAAATATTTTTTTAATTCTTATTGTCTTATTGCAGCAAAAAAAAAAAAAAAATATATATATATATATATATATATATATATATATATATATATATATATATATATATATACAGGGTGGTCCATTTAACTTGAGACAGTCGAATATCTCAAAAACGGTGCGTTTCTGAAAAAAAAAGTTCAAACAAAAGTTACATGGTGTCATGGGGGAAACAAAATGGCGGCACCGATTTTTGACTTTGACAACGTCTTCAAGGTTATTTCAAGGTCAATTTTTTTTTTTCAATGGAAACGTATTTTTTTTATTGCAGATCCCTATTCTACGGAAAAAAACAAGTAGCTTTTACTTGAAGCATTTTTCGATCAGGTTCCAATTTAAGCTGATAAACAAGAAAGAATAATATTTTTTTTTATTTTCCTCATCACACAATCTAAATTTGATAAATGCTACCATAGTGAAAAAAATACCTCAAAAACTATAACAAATGTTCAAAGTGATGTCCGCCAACTTCAACACACTTGTCAATTCGCTGTAGAAAGCTTTCATGGCACCGAATTAGAGTATCTCTACTGACAGCTCTACAAGCATTTCTTATGCGTTCCATCATATTTTCCGGTGTTGTGGGAGCCTCTTGATAAACAATCTGTTTGATATTGCCCCATAAAAAAAAATCGAGAGGCGTTAAATCAGGTGACCTAGCAGGCCATGCAACGGGACCACCTCTTCCAATCCACCGATCACGGAAATCACGATTTAACTTCTCTTGGGAAATTCTGGCATAATGAGCAGGGCAACCATCATGTTGATACCACATATTTGCTCTTTGTTGACGTGTTAGATTTGCAAGCAGGGCTGGTAAATGATCGCTTAAAAATCTTCGATATTTTGGTCCATCCAGTGTACCTTCAATAAAATACGGGCCAATCAACTTGTCTCCAATAATTCCGCACCATACATTCACCGACCAAGGGCGCTGATGTTCTACTTCTCTCAACCACCGTGGATTTTCAATACTCCAATAATGCATATTATGGCGATTTACCTGCCCATGGTTTGTAAAACCGGATTCGTCCGAAAACAACACATTACGGAAAAAATGTTCATCTAGATCTGTTCTTTCTCGTGCCCACTGACAAAATGTCACTCTATTTGCGAAATCATCACCATGAAGTTCCTGATGTAGAGAGATATGATATGGGTGGAACTTGTGCCGCTTTAAAATCCTAAGAATACTGGTTTTAGAAATTCCAGAGTCGTTTGCAATTCTTCGAGAAGAAATACATGGATTTACAGCAACTGCCGCTAATACTGCGACTTCATTATTTTCCCCAGTGGTCGTGGCTCGACGTCTCCTTTTTTTTGGCTGTACACTTCCATTTTCTTTAAACTCTTTAACAACCCGATAAAAAGACGCGCGCGATATGGCATTTCTATCTGGAAAACGTTCAGCGTACAATGCGACGGCATTGACATTCACCATAAATTAATATCATCTCAACTTTAGCTGCGATAGAAAGATATTCCATATTTGCTAATTGGTGGATAATCTTAAAATTGATGGCGGTATTAGCTATTTGGGATTCACAGATGAAAAGAGCCAAAAGATTTTCAAAATCAAAAATATGTGTCACAATTTACTTGCAAAAATGTCGGATTTTTGACGTTTAAAGAAAAAAAAGAGCATTGTAAAGCTAAGCCCTCATGTACGCGAATTGTGAACTATTTTTCTGCTGAATTGTTCCTATTGGTCCAAATTATTTGAAATTTATACTTGATTCGTTGAAATTCAAAAATCCGCTGCTCATTATGCCAGAATTTCCCAAGAGAAGTTAAATCGTGATTTCCGTGATCGGTGGATTGGAAGAGGTGGTCCCGTTGCATGCCCTGCTAGGTCACCTGATTTAACGCCTCTCGATTTTTTTTTATGGGGCAATATCAAACAGATTGTTTATCAAGAGGCTCCCACAACACCGGAAAATATGATGGAACGCATAAGAAATGCTTGTAGAGCTGTCAGTAGAGATACTCTAATTCGGTGCCATGAAAGCTTTCTACAGCGAATTGACAAGTGTGTTGAAGTTGGCGGACATCACTTTGAACATTTGTTATAGTTTTTGAGGTATTTTTTTCACTATGGTAGCATTTATCAAATTTAGATTGTGTGATGAGGAAAATAAAAAAAAATATTATTCTTTCTTGTTTATCAGCTTAAATTGGAACCTGATCGAAAAATGCTTCAAGTAAAAGCTACTTGTTTTTTTCCGTAGAATAGGGATCTGCAATAAAAAAAATACGTTTCCATTGAAAAAAAAAAATTGACCTTGAAATAACCTTGAAGACGTTGTCAAAGTCAAAAATCGGTGCCGCCATTTTGTTTCCCCCATGACACCATGTAACTTTTGTTTGAACTTTTTTTTTCAGAAACGCACCGTTTTCGAGATATTTGACTGTCTCAAGTTAAATGGACCACCCTGTATATATATATATATATATATATATATATATATATATATATATATATATATATATATATATATATATATATATATATATATATATATATATATATATATATATATATATATATATATATATATATATATATATATATATATATATATATATATATATATATATATATACATTGTAATCTTATTATGGTTGGCTACTTGAACAGAAGCGTGTTTTGTTTTTTTTTCTCTTTAACTTTTATCAAGACTATCTTTTCCTTTTTTTTTTTAAAAAAAAACACT